GGCATTCAGATGGACTGTCAGGTGGTCGGATGGATTGTCAGGCATTCAGATGGATTGTCAGGCATTCAGATGGATTGTCAGGCATTCAGATGGACTGTCAGGTGGTCGGATGGATTGTCAGGCATTCAGATGGATTGTCAGGCATTCAGATGGATTGTCAGGCATTCAGATGGACTGTCAGGTGGTCGGATGGATTGTCAGGCATTCAGATGGATTGTCAGGCATTCAGATGGATTGTCAGGCATTCAGATGGACTGTCAGGTGGTCGGATGGATTGTCAGGCATTCAGATGGATTGTCAGGCATTCAGATGGATTGTCAGGCATTCAGATGGACTGTCAGGTGGTCGGATGGATTGTCAGGCAATCAGATGGACTGTCAGATGGTCGAATGGATTGTCAGGCATTCAGATGGACTGTCAGGTGGTCGGTTGGATTGTCAGGCATTCAGATGGATTGTCAGGTAGTTGGATGAATTGTCAGGGATTCAGATGGACTGTCAGGTGGTCGAATGGATTGTCAGGCATTCAGATGGACTGTCAGGTGGTCGAATGGATTGTCAGACATTCAGATGGACTGTCAGGTAGTTGGATGAATTGTCAGACATTCAGATGGACTATCAGGTGGTCGAATGGATTGTCAGGCATTCAGATGGACTGTCAGGTGGTCGAATGGATTGTCAGACATTCAGATAGACTGTCAGGTGGTCGGATGGATTGTCAGGCATTCAGATGGACTGTCAGGTAGTTGGATGAATTGTCAGGGATTCAGATGGACTGTCAGGTGGTCGAATGGATTGTCAGGCATTCAGATGGACTGTCAGGTGGTCGAATGGATTGTCAGACATTCAGATGGACTGTCAGGTAGTTGGATGAATTGTCAGACATTCAGATGGACTGTCAGGTAGTTGGATGGATTGTCAGACATTCAGATGGACTGTCAGGCGGTTGGATGGATTGTCAGGCATTCAGATGGACTCTCAGGTAGTTGGATGAATTGTCAGACATTCAATGGACTGTCAGGTGGTCGGATGGTTTGTCAGGCATTCAGATGGACTCTCAGGTAGTTGGATGAATTGTCAGGCATTCAGATGGACTGTCAGGTGGTCGGATGGATTGTCAGGCATTCAGATGGACTGTCAGGTGGTCGGTTGGATTGTCAGGCATTCAGATGGATTGTCAGGCATTCAGATGGACTGTCAGGTGGTCGGATGGATTGTCAGGCATTCAGATGGACTGTCAGGTGGTCGAATGGATTGTCAGACATTCAGATAGACTGTCAGGTGGTCGGATGGATTGTCAGGTAGTTGGATGAATTGTCAGGGATTCAGATGGACTGTCAGGTGGTCGAATGGATTGTCAGGCATTCAGATGGACTGTCAGGTGGTCGAATGGATTGTCAGACATTCAGATGGACTGTCAGGTAGTTGGATGAATTGTCAGACATTCAGATGGACTGTCAGGTGGTCGAATGGATTGTCAGGCATTCAGATGGACTGTCAGGTGGTCGAATGGATTGTCAGACATTCAGATAGACTGTCAGGTGGTCGGATGGATTGTCAGGCATTCAGATGGACTGTCAGGTAGTTGGATGAATTGTCAGGGATTCAGATGGACTGTCAGGTGGTCGAATGGATTGTCAGGCATTCAGATGGACTGTCAGGTGGTTGAATGGATTGTCAGGCATTCAGATGGACTGTCAGGTGGTCGGATGGATTGTCAGGCAATCAGATGGACTGTCAGATGGTCGAATGGATTGTCAGGCATTCAGATGGACTGTCAGGTGGTCGGTTGGATTGTCAGGCATTCAGATGGATTGTCAGGCATTCAGATGGACTGTCAGGTGGTCGGATGGATTGTCAGGCATTCAGATGGATTGTCAGGCATTCAGATGGACTGTCAGGTGGTCGGATGGATTGTCAGGCATTTAGATGGACTGTCAGGTGGTCGAATGGATTGTCAGACATTCAGATGGACTGTCAGGTAGTTGGATGAATTGTCAGACATTCAGATGGACTGTCAGGTGGTCGAATGGATTGTCAGGCATTCAGATGGACTGTCAGGTGGTCGAATGGATTGTCAGACATTCAGATAGACTGTCAGGTGGTCGGATGGATTGTCAGGTAGTTGGATGAATTGTCAGGGATTCAGATGGACTGTCAGGTGGTCGAATGGATTGTCAGGCATTCAGATGGACTGTCAGGTGGTCGAATGGATTGTCAGACATTCAGATGGACTGTCAGGTAGTTGGATGAATTGTCAGACATTCAGATGGACTGTCAGGTGGTCGAATGGATTGTCAGGTGGTCGGATGGATTGTCAGGCATTCAGATGGATTGTCAGGCATTCAGATGGACTGTCAGGTGGTCGGATGGACTGTCAGGTGGTCGGATGGATTGTCAGGTGGTCGGATGGATTGTCAGGCAATCAGATGGACTGTCAGATGGTCGAATGGATTGTCAGGCATTCAGATGGACTGTCAGGTGGTCGGTTGGATTGTCAGGCATTCAGATGGATTGTCAGGTAGTTGGATGAATTGTCAGGGATTCAGATGGACTGTCAGGTGGTCGAATGGATTGTCAGGCATTCAGATGGACTGTCAGGTGGTCGAATGGATTGTCAGACATTCAGATGGACTGTCAGGTAGTTGGATGAATTGTCAGACATTCAGATGGACTGTCAGGTGGTCGGATGGATTGTCAGGCATTCAGATGGACTGTCAGGTGGTCGGATGGATTGTCAGGCATTCAGATGGACTGTCAGGTGGTCGGATGGATTGTCAGGCATTCAGATGGACTGTCAGGTAGTTGGATGAATTGTCAGGGATTCAGATGGACTGTCAGGTGGTCGAATGGATTGTCAGGCATTCAGATGGACTGTCAGGTGGTCGAATGGATTGTCAGACATTCAGATGGACTGTCAGGTGGTCAGATGGATTGTCAGGCATTCAGATGGACTGTCAGGTGGTCAGATGGATTGTCAGGCATTCAGATGGACTGTCAGGTAGTTGGATGAATTGTCAGGCATTCAGATGGACTGTCAGGTGGTCGGATGGATTGTCAGGCAATCAGATGGACTGTCAGATGGTCGAATGGATTGTCAGGCATTCAGATGGACTGTCAGGTGGTCGGTTGGATTGTCAGGCATTCAGATGGATTGTCAGGTAGTTGGATGAATTGTCAGGGATTCAGATGGACTGTCAGGTGGTCGAATGGATTGTCAGGCATTCAGATGGACTGTCAGGTGGTCGAATGGATTGTCAGACATTCAGATGGACTGTCAGGTAGTTGGATGAATTGTCAGACATTCAGATGGACTATCAGGTGGTCGAATGGATTGTCAGGCATTCAGATGGACTGTCAGGTGGTCGAATGGATTGTCAGACATTCAGATAGACTGTCAGGTGGTCGGATGGATTGTCAGGCATTCAGATGGACTGTCAGGTAGTTGGATGAATTGTCAGGGATTCAGATGGACTGTCAGGTGGTCGAATGGATTGTCAGGCATTCAGATGGACTGTAAGGTGGTCGAATGGATTGTCAGACATTCAGATGGACTGTCAGGTAGTTGGATGAATTGTCAGACATTCAGATGGACTGTCAGGTAGTTGGATGGATTGTCAGACATTCAGATGGACTGTCAGGTAGTTGGATGGATTGTCAGACATTCAGATAAACTGTCAGGCGGTTGGATGGATTGTCAGGCATTCAGATGGACTCTCAGGTAGTTGGATGAATTGTCAGACATTCAATGGACTGTCAGGTGGTCGGATGGTTTGTCAGGCATTCAGATGGACTCTCAGGTAGTTGGATGAATTGTCAGGCATTCAGATGGACTGTCAGGTGGTCGGATGGATTGTCAGGCAATCAGATGGACTGTCAGATGGTCGAATGGATTGTCAGGCATTCAGATGGACTGTCAGGTGGTCGGTTGGATTGTCAGGCATTCAGATGGATTGTCAGGCATTCAGATGGATTGTCAGGCATTCAGATGGACTGTCAGGTGGTCGGATGGATTGTCAGGCATTCAGATGGATTGTCAGGCATTCAGATGGATTGTCAGGCATTCAGATGGACTGTCAGGTGGTCGGATGGATTGTCAGGCATTTAGATGGACTGTCAGATGGTCGGATGGATTGTCAGGCATTTAGATGGACTGTCAGGTTGTCGGATGGATTGTCAGGCATTTAGATGGACTGTAAGGTGGTCGGATGGATTGTCAGGCATTCGGATGGATTGTCAGGTGGTCAAATGGATTGTCAGGCATTCAGACGGGCTTTTTTAAAAAAAAATTTTTAATTCAGTGAAGAAATGTAGCATTGATGACTCATTGACTGTTTTTGTTCTATTTCGCTTTATGTAGCCCATGCAACACAGTAGCGATCTTCCCCATACACGATGTAATGTGACATGTCCACCAAATTCAGAAAGCAGGTTCGGAGGTGATGACAACAGGGTTGTTGACAGCATATTTTGTGATTTTGTTCTGGTTTTGTCACGGCTCTTGATTCTTGTGTTACTGATAGTTTCATTCATGTTATCATAGCATTAGGAGTCAAACCACAGTGCTGTGCGTCTGCTACATTTTACCTAACCGGAAGACCGGGCCAAGATTCAAACTTTACATCTTGGTCCAACCAGCTTAGCTTGAAAAAAAATACATTTCAATAGATGGCTTGTTTCCACTTGCAAGTGATTTAATGTACAACATCGGTATATAGTGTCTACGCTTTGTTTTCTGTGACCAGAGGATTTAGATGATGGCTGTTACAATTTGCCTCTAAACACTCAAGAAATGATTTTATTAAAAATAAAAGTAGACAAAAAGTGACAGTTCTTGCTGCTTCAGTTTTTGTCGACAGTTTCGAGGTTAAAGATCAGTAATCATCCTGTGTTTGATACGAGTATCCATATGTGGATCAAATGCATTGTTTATTCACACAAAATACATTTGAATAAACATGGACATGATATTTTTAAAAGTGTTTTATTTTTTCAACTTACCTCAGATAGTATGGTTTTGAATAAAATTTAAATTCATCCCCATCGATGTACATTTCAGTATCTGCTACTTTAGCAAACTTTGCTTTTATAATAATATTGAGAAAGGAGTCATCTTGGGATATCTCAAACGCTGGGGTCAACATTTCTGTAAAATAAAATCAAAAACTACCGATAGTTGTAAAATGATATAACATTTATAATAACTTACAAAAACAGAATTCAAATAAATAATTTAACAGCCCAAGCTGAAATATTGACAGTATAAAATTGAATATTAATTGATTAAAAACCAGGTGGTATTTGAAAATTAATTATTCAATACATGTACATATCTATTGAATTGAAAATGCAACCATTGAAAAACATAGCAAGTCTGGTACAGAATTCTGAGGAATTTTAAAAAATGATTATAGAAGACTTAATGGCTGTACAGAAATCAAATTAAGATACCGGTGGTGCATCAAAGCCCAATCTCAATAGAAAATGCTTTACATCAAATTATGATAAATTTTGATCTTCTGTGCAATTTGGTGACATTACCAAATTTACTAAGATGCGTCCACGAAAATGGTCATAACTAGCAAGAAACTTCTGATCTATTTCTGATCTAAATATAGTAATTGTTGCATTTTTTATGACTTCATATGTCAAGTATTTTGATCTAATGAATACATCATTACAGCAAGTCTCAAGTATTGGCGCGGACAATTTGCAAACTCACTAGTGAATTGGGCAACTGATTGGGTTTTGACTGAATAATTGGCTTTCGAATCTGGCTGGCGCCGACTTGTTGTCACGCCCACTGTGGGCGAATTGGCTTCATCAATACTTCTGAGACTTGCTGTAAGGAATGGAACATTCAAAATCCATGGGTGCATGAGGACTTTGTCATAGTGTGTGATAATGACTTCAAGCTGATGGATTTGTTTGGATTTTTAGCTCTCAAGTGACTTTTCCTAAAAAAGGAACTATTTTGTAACATTGCACTATATAAGGTTTTATCCTTCTGGATAGTTCTTCCTCTCGACATGTACAGATACAGTACATGAGTGGACTCCCACAAGACACGTTGATGAAGCTATTCTTGCTCCAATCATGGAGCTAAAAAGGGAAGGAGAAAGGACACTATTTAAGCCTGTTTTAAGCTGTTTACATAGCTTTGTTTTAGGCAGAAATAATCCTATTAAAATTTTACACCATGATTGAGACCGCATATTTACTTATGCTAATTGCTGCATTTCAAGATATTGCTGAACATGAAAATATTTTGCATCCATAAAAACGAATATGCAGAAGAAATAAAAAACAATACATGTACGTGTTTTCTTCCAAGTGAAGTCAGAAGTCATTCAGTGACCTTTGGCACCGAAAACAACACAGTCCTGGATACATTCTCAGCAAAGTCAAGGTTGAGTATTTGTCTTGTGTGTGGAAAATAACTTGATACTCAAAGCTAAATATTTTTTCTCCCGACGATTCCTCTAAAAGATTTTAAAGTTTGTATGGGTTGCTTGAAAACAAGCAGTTAAGGTGAGATATTTCTTTTTATTGTGCGCCTGTGAAAAATCATGTTTGAAATTGCGATAGTAACCGTGCATGGATTTCTATTTTTATCGTAGTCTTTTTGATGACCAACAATGTTTTAGAGGAAATTTATCAGTCATACAACAGTTACTTTTGTGAGCAACATTGCAAAACGCCATGTAGTGTACTTCACAATTGAATATTTCATTTCACAGTAATTATATATTTTATGATAGCTACTTTACTTGGTTTTTTAAAAGTAAATTTATAACATGAAAATAACAATTCCTATTCCATATAGCAATTTTTGCAACATTAATATTTATTAACATCAAGATGATACAATTACAGCAAGTAATTTTCATGAATATGTGGAACCATGGAGGTAGAAAAGACAAGGAGTGAGGACGCTATTTAAGCCCATATTAATCTTTTAAACATCCTTTGTCTTTGCTCTGGTTAAGCCACTTATTGTTTTTGTTTAGAAGTCGTTTTATGTCATGATGATAGCCGCTTATTTACACAAGAAAACGAGAGTAGAACTGAAAAAAATAAATTCCATTTGAACATCGTCTGAATTGAATGCGCAAACCATAAATAAAAGAATTGTTCATGCGCAATGACCTTTATCGGGTCACAAAGGTCATTTCACACTTGTAGGTACCGGAAATTCTGCATATGGACGCTTCCAAGATGTGTGATTACTTTTTTTCTGATATTTTTCATCGAAATAGTCGTCCAACTTCGGACATTGATTAAAAAAATCAAGCAAATTTCCGCAGTGAAATTTAAAGATACATGATAAGTTTATAACAAGATGTTTCGACTGGGCATTTTTCATCAGTGTGCAGAACTGTGCATATGTTGAAAATCGCGCCTTTTGTTGCAATAGATTTGAGGTATTGAGTACACTCAGTGTACGTCTTTCGCTGCATTTTGTATTATTGTTATCTGTTTGGGCATGCGCAGTGCATCGAGAATCTTCATGAAGCTTCAGAATACAACCAAAACACATAAGCTGATTAACGGTGACACTTGGCAGCGTGTTTGCCAAATAATTACAATGTGTACTTAGTAAATAAATGCAAATAATTACAATGTGTACTGAGTAAATAAAAGCATCATGAAACCAGCGGAAACAATAGCGTTCTCACTCCTTCTCTTTTCTACCTCCATGGTGGAACACATACAAACAGTATATTGTTATTTTACTGTGGGTACTGTGGTACAAATTAGCATAACCTCCTTTCAAAATAAAACTTCTCTGTTTCATTGTGTAATTTATATACCGGTACATTTTTTTTTTTTATTTCATAGTTTCAGATTATGAATCAATAGGGTTGATATAGTCTCCGAACGTATACGGATATTCACTAAGTTAACCGACAGAAGATTAAACCTTGTAAATCTCGTTATAAGATTAAGATAAATGAAGTGGTCAATATCTAATGAGTAAATAAACTATCCAATGAGCAAATAAACTATAACTATCATAGGACAGGCAAAAACGATAGCGTCCTCTCCTTTAGCTGCAGTTCTGAAACCATGGTTTCGCGTTAACACCACGACGAACGAAATAACCGCCAGCGAAACCAAGGGAGCTACAGAACAGCAGCTACCTCTACTTCCCTTTCTAGCTCAATGCTCCAATCAATCGATCTCGTAAAGCCAAAGCTTATCCCGATTTTCGAATAACAAAAATGTGTTTCATCAAAGGTTGTTCGAATCACAGTGGCTCGAATCTGACATGCATGGCTTCAGCAACCAGAAATGAAAAGATTCTATTAGAGATACACTACAGTAGCTTTACCTTTTGTCACGTGTTGGTGTGATAATGTTTTTTTTTTATTACTCCATGTCCTTTTGCTTTGCCCTTTGACCGATTGTTAGTCTCGAAAGAGGCGAAGATCTCGCATGCTGGTTCATTGCTAGCTGGCGCCGTCACACTAAGCAGACCATATATGGATAATAAGGGATCAGGCGATGGAAGTATCAGCCAATCACAAACGTCGATTTGGTATCAACAAGCTAGCTGTTACATGCTTCCGTTATTTAGGTCATCTGGGCTGTGGCCTTATTATTCAGATCAAAACATAACCTATTAATCTGAATATCTGCTCCGTTTCGTCTCATAAACACTAAAGAATTCACAACGATTACTTCTGTAGCTGTGATCCATGGTTTACCATACATCATCATTTCGATAACCAATTTGGTTAGTTCTCTAATCAAGACAGTTTGTCCTCCATTTTTGGAACCAAGTTCCATCATCGTATGTTCCGATGATCATTCGTCATCTATATCATCGCTGTTTCATCTTCGTGACTGATCAGTACTTCATTTGAGTGGTAAGTTATGCTTATATCGTCCGTCTGTGTGTAGATTTATTCTAGAATTAGATTATTTTCGAAATTATCGAGTTTTGTTTTTATTATTATGATTTGGTTAAATGTCCAGGGGTACTTTGTTGACGTTAAACAGCTGAGATGACGTCATATTGTTGAGAGGACCATGCAAAACCTACTGTAGATTTCACTAGATTTCAATACTGCACGTCGAACGAAGATCACTAATTATAATTAATAAAATCAATAAATTTACCTACCACTGAATGAATGAATGAATGATTGAATGAATGAATGAATAAGTTGAATATTTGATTCTTTGTAAAACTGCCCACAGTATGTCTCCCAAAGTAGTTAAAATTCATTTGATACAAATTTAATTTATGGCTTATATTAACTGATATATAATTGTTTATACATGGTTGCTGGGTGTTAATTTGTTCCCTTGTTACTGGTGATGTTATTATTGTTACTGTGAGTCACAGGTGTAAGATTATCATACCAGGATGCTCTTGTAATTTGAATAATTTATGCAGGTCTCAGCACTGCAGTATAAATCGGACATTACTGTCGTAGTTTACTGAATACAAATGTTTGTCCTTATCATTGATTTTGATTCTATAGGTTTCTCTCATCTGTGACAATGTCGGCATACACTGGTATTCTTCAAGGGAAGCTCAACCCACAGACCTTCAACGCAACAAAGCGCATAATGAAATTACCAGGAAGGTTACCTGTACATATCAAGCGTAAAATACAGTCTCAGACATCAAAGCAAAATGGTTATAGATCTTATACAATGTTGAGCAATAGTTTGAAGGCAAATACGACATATCCACAAAGAGCACTGTCCGTAGGAAAGAAGTTTATCCAGGCTGGTAGTGGTGAATGGACAGTTAAGATATCAAAGTTAAAGGTCACGGCAGGCCAGCTTGTGTGCGCTCTCAACCAAACAAATGATGACATCCTAAAAAAAATTATTGAAACTAAACAGAAACTACCGTCCCTGCCGAAATTGAAACTGCCATCTTTTCCTAGATTTGTTTTAACGCAGCGAGTTGTAAATGCCCAGAACAAAGACGTTGTTACTTGTGACAGTAAAGTTGTACAGTTGGAACGAAAAAAAATAACTATGGACGAGAGTTTTGAGAGGGAAGAGCACAATTTGGAGAAAGCTGTTTACGATGCCAATAAGGAACTTGTTGTTTATACCGCGAATATCTCACAATCACCAGAACTTGTCAGGGAGAGACTGGGAATCATGAAAAATCAAAGAACAGAATCAAATGAAAAGAAGACAAGTGAAGGAAACAACATCGATGTCTACAAAAAGCTGGCAACATTTGCTGCCCATCTTCCTAATATCAATAAACTGAAAGAAATTAATATTAAAAAAATAGTGAAGAATCATGTAACAAAAGAAACTGAGTCTCCTGTCCGAGAAGAGTATGATTTAGAGACATCAATACTGAACACCTATTTGTGTTCCAGAATGACTACGCTCCCAGAAGAAACTTTGCAGACATTGGACGCTATTCAACAATCATCCTCCACTCAGCCGGAATCACAACAAGAAACCGTACAGGCGCTGGATCCCATTCAAATGTCTACCACTGCTCACCCAGAACCCCAGCCAGTTACTAAGAAAGAAAGCAATAAAGTAATGAAACTTTTGAGTAAAGCTGTACCTAGCAGTGGTAAGGGGAAAGACAAAAGCGAAAATGCTGCCAAGTCAACAAAGATAATGATCTCTCAGAACAGTATTGATAGCAAAACAAAGGCACTGGTGTACTCCATTTCAAATGCCCAAAGTGAGGAATCCAAATTGAAGCGTGTTGATGAATTCTGTAAGCATTTATGTGCATATCCTGAAGCCAGACATTTGGCCAATAAGGTAAGAAAGAAATCAGTCATTGTAAATTTTATTATGCTAACCTTCTTAGAAGGTTATTTTATGGTGTAAACAACAATATTCATGGGCGTACTCACGTATACATTGTTTACTGTGTGAGATCAGAGGTCATTGCACTTTATAGACTTGTTGACTAGACCACTCATGCTGATTTAGATCTAGAATATTCTGACATCAATATGATCACTCTTTATTTGTGTAGCCACATTTTATTTTTTCGCTTTTATGTATGCAAAACACAAAAGGTCATAGTAATGTCTGTCTGTCTGCCCGTCAGTCCGTTTGTGTGTTTGTGACAACTCTGTTCCACCAATATCACGAGAGCCACTGTCTGGATTAGAATGAGATTTGATACCCATATAACATATCCATGCTTGTTAATTTGCATAATTAATTGGTTTTAGTATGTTCTTTGCACTTCTTTACATCAGGTCACTCAAATAGATTTTTTTTTCAGTAATACCATATATCAAAACAAGAAAACAAATATTCATAATATCAATAAACATTGTCAGCAATTAATTTGCTTTCTGGAACACATTCACTTCATGTCTTTTATAGTTTTGCATTTGGTAGTAAACTCTATATGCAGAGAATTTAATTATTTTTTTTTAAATAGCATGTTCATTACAGAAAATCTTTAGACTCTGTGTGTAGAATACAATGAATCAATGAAACCTATTTCCACTTCCCATGAATCTTTGTTACCAAATTGTAAAATTACTGTTTAGTGTGCAGAATCTGTAAGTAATTTCCTCAATTTATTTGTTTAGATGCATGTCTTATCACCGCTACTGAGACACTTGAATAGTAGTGAAAATGATGACTTGCAAGGCGCAGTAAGAAAGGCATTGGCATTGGTTGGATATGCGGAACCGGTCAAAGGCAGAGGGATCCGGATATTATCTATCGATGGAGGCGGCACCAGGTAATTGAAAATCACTTGCTGCTAGAAATTTCTAGAATTACAGCGAGCGCAAGATATTTACATACACCTAACTTGCGCACCCGGTAGGTAATTACCGAGGGACTTTGCAACATCCCCAGACACTTTGCTAGACGCCCCAACGACTGTTGTAGACGCAATAAAGTTACATACACTCTTACGTGACAGTTAATCAAAACACCGGACGCGGTATGCCTTTGATGTGTGGGCACGAGGAACGAGGGGTAGTTGGAATATTCCATTACTTTGTAGGTGTATCTAGCCGAAGAACAACAAAAAATACGAATTGTGCAAAAACTGGGTGATATTATGATTGAATAAGCCACACAGACAGTAAAACACACTTTAATTTTAAAAGATTGATCATTATTTGAAACTCCAGGGAAACGAATTATTTTGAAAACAAAATAATCAACAATAATCTAACCTCAAACTAAGTAAAGAATTCAAATAATTTCAACGGTTTTATCTCTCCATCCAGTGTTTCTATTGGTCAACCTTAACCTTGTAACAATTAATTTTAGTGGCAGACCTACCCCATACAAAAAAATAATCAGAGTTCGACAACATTTTTGAAGAAAAAACATGTTTATTTATCAATTTACACTTTCCAGTAAGTTTTGTGATAAATCTCCACCAGCAAAAATTTTGTATATTTTTTAATGTTATCTAGTCTATGGCAATTCCACAGAAACGAAAGAAATTGCGTGACATAAAGGGCGTTATTGATGCAGTCCGTTAATAATAGCA